GGTTGTTCTTCCTTTTAACCTAAGTTGTCCCAGTACTTCTCCATTTGTATGGAAATGAAGAAAACTCTAAACGTTATGAAAAGGAGTAGTCTTAAAATGCAAACAACCTTAGTAGAATTCTCATTGCCTCCATCTAAGCTAAATCTAAGCAATCATGGGCTATAGAGCTGTAAGAGAAATCTAATTTTGTGTATTCAGATCCCTTATGTTGTAGGATTAAGTTTAATATGATTGAAATATATGTTCTCGTTAATCTCCAATTAAAGATATCCTAAAATCTCTATTGATAACTGTCCTAGGTTGAGTGAGTGGTGGAGGTTTTTTTGGTGGCAGGGAAGGGGCTATAGGGGTGGCCCCCTGTGAGAAGCTTCTCAAAGATCCCCCAGCTCCAAGTCAGCTCCACTTCTGTTTGGAAACTGAGCCAATCAGCTGTGCCTCTGCGATAACGTATTTAAGCAGGGACGTGGTGACGGGCAGTCGGACTTGTGAGGAGGAGTTGCTGCAGCTGCGTGAACACCAAGGTCAGTGGAGGAACGGAGGAAGAAAGGAGGGGGGAGGTGTGCCGGAGCAGAGACCCCCCTATATCCTGTGGTGAAACGGCAGGGCAACCCCCCCCTGCCACCCATGAAGATCTACAGTGGAGCAGACATTGATTTATGGCCTGTGGCTTCTGCCTGGTTGACCAAGGTGCTGTGCCTGAAGAAGGCCGGGGTCTTGTGGGAAAAGGTAACCCTGCTGCTGTAATTCAGCGCTGGGAGGATTGCAGCATGCAGGGGAGTCCCACGCCGGAGCAGCTCGGGAAGGGCTGCAGCCGTGGGAGAGAATCCATTCAAAGAACGTTAGTGACCCGTGATGGAGCAGTGAGGGGAACGCTGCGGCCCATGGGAGGAACTCATATTGGAGAAAGTTTGTGGAGGACTGTCTCCTGTGAGAGGGGGACCACGATGGAGCAGGGGGTAACAAGTTTTGGACACTCCCCTCACCGAAGATGAAGGAAGTGGCAGCACTGACTGCACCCCCCATTCCCTGCCCCTATGCCGCTGGGGGAGGAGGTAGAGATATCAGGAGCAGAGCTGAGCCCTGGAAGAAGGGAGGGGTGGGGAGAAGGTGTTCTCAAGATGTGGCAATGCTTCTCACTGTCCTACTCTGTTACGTGTTGTTAGTGTCTGTAATAAATGTATGTTCTTTTTTTCTTCCCCTAACGAGTCTGCCTTTTGCTCATGATCATAAAGGGGGAATTTTTTCCCCACCCCAGTCCTATCTCGAACACCAAGTCTGTCTCTGTGTCACTTCTTATTCCCAGAAGAGAAGGGAGAGAGAGCCGCTGCATGGTGGTTGGCTGCTGACCAGGCCCAAACCACGACAATAACTTTCAGTGGTTCACCAACTTTTTGTTGAAAGATTTTTCCCATTTAAATATTCCTTCTGCAGAGCCATTGCATTCAAAACGGTTTTGAACAGAGCACCGCTAGGGCAAGACGAGTTTCTTTATTTTGTTTTGGTTTGGTTTTTCTTCTGTTGGTTGGTTGGTTATTTTCTTGTTTGTTTTTCCTATGACAAGTACCTAATCAGAAACAGTGATCTGTGTGTCATTAAACCAAATGTAATCCCATGACTTGAATTAGGAATGGCTTGATGCTCATTAAAACTATTTTGTTTGTGTTCTTACAAGCTATTACATTTGAGAAAGCACATTCAAAACATTACTAATGTCTAATGTGTGGGTAAATTTTCCTCTCTTCATGTTAAACAGAGAATTTAATGGCAAGGAAATGTTAAGGTTTTAGTTCATGACTATGTATATTTTTCATGGATAGTTATTTATGTATATAATAAATATATATCAATTTCAGAGAAATATATGACAGTGGAAGATGAAGAGGATTATGGTGGTCTTATTCACACAGTATTTCATTTCATAGTCTTAAAACTCTATCATAAATGAGGTTTTCTCTTACTGAAAGTTTATTGTGCCTAGGAAAAGAAACTGATGTCCACAGTCTCCATCCCAGATTATGCAGTCAGAGAGTCACAGGATAGTTCAGGTAGGAAGGGACTTCAGGAGGTCTTTAGTCCAAGCACCTTCTCAAAGCAGGGTCAGGTATGAGATCAGACCATATCAATTTGGGTCTTGAAAACCTTCAGGGATGAAGACTGCCCAATGCCTATGGACAAACTGTTCAGTTTGCTTGACTGTCTTCATGGTGAGGACATGGCATCATTTTTAATAATGTACTTATTTGTTTGTTTGTTTGTTTAGAAAGGCCCATATCCAGCTGTATAGTAAGACTGCTCCATGAGAGGACTGATGTATTAACTAACAGAATAGGAGATGTTACTTCATTTTGTGGTTGGGGCTATAAGCAGAGGTCACAGCTGCTTCATTATTTACTGCAGGAACAGGAGAGAGACTAGATGTTTTCTACCCAGCTATTTTCTGTTTAGGCTTTGCTGTGTACAGCTGTGTCTGCTGGATTGTTCGAGATGTTCTGGTAAATTTTACTCACTTAACAAGCTGCAGGCTGATCATCCATGCTGGGTCACTAGCTTGGCTGTGTTTTTTTTAAAAAAGTCTACTGAATGCAAGACTGACATGAAATGATGCAGCTGGCCGGAATGCAGTGATGACATGTACTAAAAAGGCCTATAGTAACTAATGATTTCTGGTAAGAAATTCTAGGCCTTGAGCTCTTCCTCTAGGAAGACTGTCATCAAATAGAGTTAAAAAGATGTCACTTCCACATTCTTCTTCATTCAGTCTTAGCATCCATGGAGAGGCTATGGTCATCCCAGTGGAGGGAACTGAACTGGCTGGGGACATGAAATAGATTTCAACCAAAACCCACTAAAAGTATGCTTTTCTGCCCATTGACAAGATATCTATAATGTTTTAGCCGATTCTATCATCCCTTCTTCATCCATGAGATGATTTCATCCAGGGACTACAGTGATTTAAGAGGTTTGCTGTTCTTGACTGCATTGCAGTCTTGAATGTATTATGTTTATGTTCCCGATACTAAAGACCATTTTATAGGACCAGTACTTATTCCACTATTATTATTATTATTAATTATTATTAATTATTATTAATTATTAATTATTAATTATTATTTTATTATTATTTTATTATTATTTATTTTATTATTGTTGTTGTTGTTGTTGTTGTTTTTTGTTGTTGGTTGTTGTTCTTGTTGTTCTTGTTGTTCTTGTTATTATTATTATAGATTAGCAAGGCATGTTACTGGATAAACAGAATTCAGGCACTCCAGGAGCTGCTGGATTAGATGCTCAGTATGTAATATAATAAAACATTGTGCCAAACTCAGACTTAAGCAATATTAGAAAATATATAGCTGAGTATAATCCAAAGTCTGTATTCGTTATGTTAGTAAGATTTTCTGAAATCAGAATGGCAAAGCTTTTAAACTGTACTCTTTACCACTGAACTATACAGCATTATAGAACTCATATGCTATGGTTCTTTTATCATTAATAGATTCCACATATAAAAAATTTCAAGTATTATAACATAACTTTATTAATATGCATCATTATAATATGTCCTGCAGCACCACCAAACAACTGTATCAAATAATCGGTATTTTTCTTCTTTTGAACCTAAAGATTAATGCGTTTACACGATTCTCAATTTTAAATTAGGGGCAAAAATATGAATAAATATGTCTCTCAACTGAATGCAAAAATTGCTTCATATATCTTATGGCTTCATAAAACTAGCAGGGGATTTAGTACATCCAGTTGAATAGTACATTATTGCTGCTCTGCTACACTTAGATACAAATTGAAGTTAAATTATATCTTTTTTAGTTCAGTTAACAAAAGTATTGCTTTCATGATGTTTGTTTCCACTTGATTCATTGTTCTTCTGTTCCAAAGAATTAATGAATCCAAAAATAATTATTTCCCATGGAATTCTAATCTTTTATTATAATACATATAGATGGTAAAGCTTAATAACTATGTTGATTTTTCTGTAGAAATATTTAAACTTTGGAAATTAAACACTGTTATATGTATGTAAAAATAAAACATTGGTTACATTTCAGATGAACTAACAAGTCTCTCTCTTAAGAATTGATTTAAAATCATCTGTCATTCAAATATTCGTGATTTTGCTTTAAATTAACTTTTCCTACACTTATATTACAATTAATGGAATGTGTTACTCTTTCACTTTCTTGTATCTAGTTAAGTTAATTATGCCTCCTTTATCCCTCTGTTTTTGTTAATAAACTCTTCATTTTGTATCTCATCTTTGTATATTACATAAGAGTTACTTTTAACAGCAGAAGCTTCTTAATGACTTTTTCATGATTAACTGGTAAGCTAGTTTATACATAGTGCTCTTTATAGCTTTTGAGTTAATTGTGAAAGTAATTCAAATGACTGTATTCAGAAGGAAATGGTTTTGACTGTATATGGAAACATTCTTTAAATATTTTGCTTGAGATTGTAAGTACAACATTCTCTACTTCCAGCAAAAACATGAAAAAACTACACATATACCTAAAATAAGAAAGAAAAGATGAACCCAAATTAAAATACAACATCTATTCTTTGATAAAAATATAATGGATTTTCACAGGACTATTTATGCTGTATGCAAGATTGGAATCACATGTAACAAGACCAGTTAGGCTGTTATGCTACTGAACTGTAAAAGAAAGATAGTAAAGTTAGAGCATACTGTTATTCAGTCTTGCAATACTTTGATTCTATAGAGGCCATTTAGGTATTTTTTTAATTTATTTACCTTGGAAAGGGAAAAAAGCAATATATAGATACACACAGACACACACAAAAATATATATTCCAGGGACTACTCTGTCTAAAGAAACAAAAAATACTTGTCAAGATGTTGGAAGTAGTCAAAAAATAATATTAAAGTTTTGACACTTCTAGAAGAAAAAAAAAAAAAAAAGCCAATGCAAATTTTGTATGCGTTTTATATACATTAACCTATTATTATGTCTCATCAGGTGCCACAACTATTGAGAAGTATGATCTCAGAACAAATATATGGATTCAGGCTGGAGTAATGAATGGCAGAAGGCTTCAGTTTGGTGTTGCTGTCATCGACGACAAGCTGTTTGTTATTGGAGGCCGGGATGGTTTAAAGACATTAAACACCGTTGAATGTTACAATCCAAAGACCAAGTCTTGGACTGTGTTACCACCGATGTCAACACATAGGCATGGCTTAGGTAAGGAAAAAAAAATGTTATAAAAAGATACCACGTTTTTTGAATATGTAATTTGCAATGGAAAAATCAGTAATTTTAAGATATCATAGCACTCTGAACAGCAGTGTCAAGGTTTAGGCCTGGTTGGCAGCCAACCACCATGCAGCGGCTCTCTCTCCCTTCTATTCCAGCAATGAGAAGGGACAGAGAGCCAGGCTTGGGGTTCAAGATAGGACTGGGATGGGGGAAAAAATCCCCCTTTATGGTCACGAGCAAAAGGCAGACTCGTTAGGGGAAGAAAAAAAGAACAAAGATTTATTACAGACACTAACAACACGTAACAGAGTAGGACAGTGAGAAGCATTGCCACATCTTGAGAACACCTTCCCCCCACTCCTCCCTTCTTCCAGGGCTCAGCTCTGCTCCTAATATCTCTACCTCCTCCCCCAGAGGCACAGGGGCAGGGAATGGGGGGTGCAGTCAGTGCTGCCACTTCCTTTATCTTCGGTGGGGGGAGCTCCTGGAACTTCTTCCCCCTGCTCCATCGTGGTCCCCCTCTCACAGGAGACAGTCCTCCACAAACTTTCTCCAACAGGAGTTCCTCCCACGGGCCACAGCGTTCCCCACACTGCTCCATCGTGGGTCACTAACTTTCTCCAACTAGAGTCCTTCCCATGGGCTGCAGCCCTTCCCGAGCTGCTCCGGTGTGGGACTTCCCTGCGTGCTGCAATCCTCCCAGCACTGAATTACAGCAGCAGGGTTACCTTTTCCCACAAGACCCCGGCCTTCTTCAGGCACAGCACCTTGACCAACAAGGTGGAAGCCACAGGCAATAAATCAATGTCTGCTCCACTGTAGATCTTCATGGGTGGCGGGTGGTGGTGGGGGGGGTTGCCCTGCCGTCTCACCACAGGATACAGGGGGGGTCTCTGCTCCGGAACACCTCCCCCCTCCTTTCTTCCTCCGTTCCTCCACTGACCTTGGTGTTCACGCAGCTGCCACAATTCCTCCTCACAAGTCCGACTGCCCGTCACCACGTCCCTTCTTAAATACGTTATCGCAGAGGCGCAGCTATTTGGCTCAGTTTCCAAACAGAAGTGGAGCTGACTTGGAGCTGGGGGATCTTTGAGAAGCTTCTCACAGGGGGCCACCCCTATAGCCCCCTCCCCTGCCACCAAAAAACACCACCACTCACTCAAACCCAGGACAAGCAGTAATAGCTGGTTACATGTTCTTCTTAGATCACTAAGAATATATAGAAATTTAAAGTAACTTTTTATTACTTTTCATTTACCAAAATAATACTGGGAAAAAAAACCAAAACAAAACAAAACAATAAACAAATAAAAGGCAGTCGAACAGAGAAAGAAACCCTGAGACTTACCCAGGTTAGTGATAAAATTTAGGTTTATATGCACTGATTTTGAAAAAAGACATTTTTATTTATCAAACAAATAAGTTATTATATATTTTTAATCAAAACATGTGTTTTCATTTATCAAACATGTTAGGAAATAAAGGCTATAGACACTGTGTCAGTGATGGACTGATATACTTCACAAACTATGTGTAGCAATAATTTCATCATGTCTGAGAGCATATTCTCCCATATCCTGTTTTGAGATAAGTTGTTTTTTGTTTTGTTTTTTTTTTGGTTTTGTTTTTTTTTTTTTTTTTTTTTTTAATAGTATTATCCATACCACTGTCAGCATTAATCAACTCACATTGCATTCCTTTTCTTTACTCACAGAAATAACCATTTGGTGGTGGGGATTTATTTATTTATTTATTTATTTATTTATTTATTTATTTATTTATTTATTTATTAGATTAAGCAAAACACAATATATTTTTCCTTGGGGGAAGAGAAAAAAAAGAAAGGAGTCTTTCTATTATGTATATCATATATATACAGTAGGAAAAAAACACTAATTCAATTATATAAATAATTCTGTGATGTTTCAAAAATACCCCTTTTTATTCTTAACTGTAGAGTAATGACATTTTCTTGCTTCAAGAAAGGATTTTAGAATTTATAGGACATACCCATCAGAATGTAACATTTGTAAGGTATAGAAAACTGAACTGTTCATTATCTGTTCTGCTAAAATCACTTGGTGTGATAGAAACATGACAATGTCATGAAAAATAGAAATAGAAAAGACATGCTAGGTAATCATGTCCATTCCCCTGCATTACAATCAGCAGCAAGTCCTTTAATGTCCTACAGTTCCAAAATCTTACAGAATCTGCTATTAGTTTCAATGATGTTCCTAAGGGTGGTAAAAATGCAGCAACTTGCTATAACACTGGAAAGTATTAATAAAACATTAGGGAATGCTTGATAGAGAAGAAACTTCTCCCAGTGACAAGAGAGACAGAGCTGAAAACCCTTTGTGATCAGCTAAAAACATATGTATAATTTTAGATTGATAATTGTACAGATGCTTTTGGTCAATAGATTTTAAAAATGCCTTTATAGTTTGAATAAAGCTGTTCAGGAATGTTGAGGTTATGACTGGAAAAAAACTTGTATGTTTTCTACAGAAGAGAAAAGGGAACACACAAGGCATTTGACCACTTGAGGGTTTTTTTGTTTTGTTTTTTTTTGTGTGGAATTACTTTTGAAATTTTATATTGCAGAAATTGGGGCTTTTTGTAAACAACATGTAAGATAAGAAATATAATCTGGGATTTTATTGGTGATGATGAAAATGATTAAATGCAGTTGTTTGGGAAACAGTAGAGATGTGCTGTTTTCCTTTGTTTGGAATCGCATAAAAGTCATGATAAATTATTTCTTGAGAAGCTTATCTAATAAAATTTAATTGATTTTTTTCATTTGAATATTTTTTTTCCCAGGAATCCCATAAAGTTATTGTTTTAGTAAATGCTCTTTGTAACGAGTTATTCATCTGCACTAGGAAATCTTTCTTCATTTGTTTTCTAAATACATGCTATATTGTATCCATGCAGTGATAACACTAGAGCTGTTTAAATTGGATTTTGTATACAAGATTAGAAATAGGCACCCATCCTTTAGACTGCTTTTTGTTGCCACCAACAAAAAAAAAATTAAAATGTATCTCATTGTAACTAAAGTCACAACCAGGCAATACGATTCACTTTATTCTGTCTTCATATAATCTTCAATAGAACTATATGTCTAGAAGTTGATATATACACAAATGAGAAATGAGAAAATGAAAACTGACTGGTCCTGTAGTGAAAGTACATAGTAGGAAGTCATAAGTTAAGTAGTTTTAGCACTGTCAATGGAAGATGAGTGGAAGCTATTGTAGTCGTCGTGTTTGAAATAAGTGGTGCAAAGAAACAGTAGACTATGGGATCTAAAACTATTATTTCAACTAACAGTGATTCTAATATCCCTGTCAAGTAGGCCATAAAACAATATGGAATATGAAAGAGTAATAAAAAGCCAGAAAGGCAGTGAAAAGTACGAATTAAATATGGGGAAGGTGAAACCTGAGAAACAGAAAGACCAAATCAAAATATATATAGTGAAGGCAGAAAAATGTAAAACGGATTGTGGATTATAAATTCATCAAATAAATGTGAAAAGTGAGTGCAGAACTGCTTCATAAAGAGATTTTATAGGCTACATAAAGGAGGAGGAGAGAGGGAGGAATCAGGGAGTCAATAATAGACTAATTTAAACTTTTGATATAAAATCCAGTGGAACTGTGGTTTAAAATAAATAATAAAGCACCAAACAAAAGATTGATACTCAGCTTGTCTTTCCAAGGTAAACAATTTAAGTTCCTGATTGAGACAGTGAAGCTTCTAGTATAGTTATGGGAGAAAGGCAGTCTTTTTAGATAGGTATTCTAAAGTGTCTTACCTTTCCATGAACTATGTAAAGAGTGTCTGAGCTCCTATTTTAGGCTAGATTTACACTGTTTGTTAAGCCTAGACTTGAGATTTGGGTTTTGGCTTTGTAAATATACTGATCTCACTATCCATAGTGAAACATATATTTGGAAGATGATCAGCATGGGAAGAAGGATAACAGGGCATGGTATTACCTTGCATAGTTTTCCTCTTTCCTACTTGGAAGAGAAAATTTTGCCAGTTGGAATTGTCTGAGTGAAAATGCTATAAATTCTATAAAAATATTCACTGCTGATGGGAAAGCCTTAATTTTATTTATATAGCATATAGGCCTAGGGTAGAATGTCCTAGAGAACTTAAAGAGTTTCCGAATCTCATTTTACACAGTGGGTTATGGATTCAACCCATTGTTCTGAACCAGCTAAATATGTAATGTTAACGTATTCATAATGTCCTAAGAGGTACGCTTAAAGTTACAGTGAATACTTGCCTATAATGTGATTGCCATGAAACTGGTATGTGCAGGAATTAATATCTAAAAGACTAAGTTCAAGAATCATAAGTGGAAATAAAATATGGGAAGTTAGGGAGTTGTAGGATAAAATATCACAGAATATCTTTGATGTTGATGACAAAAATATCAAATGGCATTACATATTTGCACAAATATCTATTTCTATATTTAACTGAAAGAGAATGATCCACCCTGCTTCTTAGACTCAGCCTGATTTTCCACTTCCATGCTTACTGCTCTATAATCCAACACATCAGGAAAAGGGAAGGAAGAAAATAGGATTATCTGGGAAAAAAACAGGGATTGCTCTGTAATTTTTAAGAAGCATAGTAAGGAGAAATGCTAATAGAGGAAAAGATTGTAGAGAAACTGAAGTAACAGTCAAAAAGCTTGTAATTTACATAACAAAGGGAATAGGTAAAATCAGAGCTAACAAATCAAAACTAAGATAGGACTTTCTATTTTTTTGTTCAAAACTGAAGATGTGATTACCCTCTTTTTGATCCATAAATAATAATAGTACATAAATACATAACAATTCAAATATATGATACCTGTGTGTATATATATGTATATATGTCCATATATATCATATGTATCATGACATACTTATGTGTACACACACATATCTGGTTGGTCTAAACTTCTTGCATCT